AGAGAGAGAGAGAGAGAGAGAGAGAGTGAGAGTTGAGTTAGAGACTAATGGTAATACAGCAGAATGGGAACTCGCCATTTATAGGAGGAAATGTGTCAGTGGTGCGGAAATCCTATAGGTTAAAGGACTGTTATTAGTACCAAGTTACAATATTTGCCAATTATGTTTTATGCCAAGTGGGGACACTTCGGATTGACCAAAAAGGCCTAAATTGTTTCACTTATGATGTTTATTGCTGGGTGTCTTTTTTTTTTTTTTGTCTTTTATAAATTGAGAAGTTTGCTTAGAGTTAAGAATAAAAATCATGTTTAAGGGCAGTGGCGGATCCACAGTGGGGGCAGCTGCCCCCACTAGAATCTTAAAATTTTTTTGAGACTAATTATAATTTTAAAAAATTTAGAATTTATTAGAGATTTGCCCTCACTGAATTTTTTTTAAAAAATTTAAGGGTAGTTATGTTATTTTGACAAAAATATGAGTCTCACTTGTAAATATCAATAAAAGATGATATCAAAAATTTGGACATTTAAAGATTAACTAATATGCTATGAAATAGGTTAGTCCTCTCATTTGTTTTATGTTTATACATTGAATTAAATTTAGGGCTTGTAGTCATTTTCATTGGTTTATGTTTATATGTTAGAATTGAAAATTAGGGTTTGTAGTCCACTTTTGTGATTTATTTTTTAAATGTTGAATTGAAATTAACCCCTGTAGCTCTCTATTGTATTTTATTTGTTACTTGTTGAATTGAAAATATGAAATTGAGACTTGTAATCATCTCTTATGTTTTATTTTTTATGTATTGAATTGAAACTAGGATTTGTAGTTTTGTATTTATTTTTTTATGTTCAAATAAAATTAGGGCTTATAGCCTTTTTCTATAATTTATTTTTTATGTATTTAATTGATATTTGGGTTTGTAGTCCTCTCTAGTATTTTATGTTTATATGTTAAATTGGAATTAGTACTTGTAGTCGTCTAATTTATTTTATTTTTATTTATAGAATTGAATTGAGATTCGTAGTCCTCCATTATAATTAGATTAAATTATTTTTGATTTGATAGTTTGAATAGTTTTGTTGTGATAAGTTAAATACTTCATATACCTAGATTTAGTTTACTAGAATAATTATAGTTTAAGTTAGTTTTGATTGTTTGTTAAAATTTGATGATGAATATTAAGTTTGTGATTGAACAAATTAATTTTTGAATTAGTTATGAAAATTTTTCTTAAAATTTAATATTCTAAATTTGCAGGTCAAAATTTTTTTGTTAGGTCTTATAAATAAATCTATAATGAGTTTTTTTTGTTGGCTCATTTTGTATATCGGTCATGTATATGAATTGCGTCTTTAATTAGTTTTCTATTAATAAAACTATAATTTTGTGAATGTTTTATATTTTAATATTAGTATAGTTTGGGTTGCCCCCACCGAAGAAGATCTTTGGCCTCGCCCCTGCTTAAAAGGAGTGTTGGAAAAATAATAATAAACATGACTTTTCATATTTTAGGAGTTATTTTTATGCCTTTAATTTTTTGTATTAGTAAGTCATCAATTTGATATTAGTGGGGGATAAAATAATTGTGCTATTTTAATTCCTCAAGTAATAGAGGAGTTAAGTCTTTATTATTTTTATTATTGTATTTTGTAGTGGAGTTATTTTGTATGTCATGTATTATATATGAGAGTATATATATATATTTTATGTAATACATCTATTTGAATATGAGTAAATAAAAATAGTTTTTCCTATCTTCAATATTCTCTTCCATTATTTTTTGTGAATGCTTGATAGTCTTCTAAATTCCAATAATGCTGTGAACAAGTCTGAGGAGACTACAAAATCTGTGAACAATTGTTTGAAGATTGGAGAGGATGTAAGACAGAACGCTACAAGAACCCTCGAGACTTTACATCAGCAGGGTGAGCAAATCCATAGGACCCGCATGATGGCCTCAGACATGGACAAGGATTTGAGCAAAGTATGTTCATGGACGATTTTCGATGGAAATTCAAATTTTTACTCAATAATATGAGTAAAAATAAAAAATAAAAAACTTGATTTGTTATAAGCTTTTTTAATAGAGAAACTTAAATTTAAAAACAGAGAAACCTATTAAATGATAACAAATCAAATATAAAAGTGGATAAAATATGATTATTGGATCTTTAAAAGATTATGAAATTTCATTATTAAATATTTGGGTTTAAAAAAGAGTCTCCCTTAATTTGGATTTAAAAAAAGATTTTTTTTCATTTAATATGGGTATGAGTTTAATATTGGAGAAGTATTTTAGACTATTTTTATCTAAATTTAAATTTGAATACAAAAAGAGGTAAGGATGGATGATCCTCTTATGATTCATTATGTTTTTTAATTAGTGCGAAGGTAAACATTATTTGTTGGGGCTTTGGGATATTTTGGTATTTACAGAAAAGGTCAAAGAATAGCTAAAGAAGAAGACATAACTGAAATTCCTNCATGAGTTTAATATTATTTGTTGGGGCTTTGGGATATTTGGGTATTTACAGAAAAGGTCAAAGAATAGCTAAAGAAGAAGACATAACTGAAATTCCTAGAGAGAAGTCCATCCTCATTATGCATATATACAGATTATATGAATATTTTCTCAGACAAAAACAGATTAGCCATTACTTCCAAAAAGAAAACCGAAAAAAAAAAAACAAGGGAAAAGGATCGAACATTGATGCAAAAATACATAGGAACACTGGAATCTATCAAGTACCAAAACACGAAAAACAGCAAATGAAACCGTACCACAAACATACAAAGAGAAGGAAAATAAATCAAANCTGGAATCTATCAAGTACCAAAACACGAAAAACAGCAAATGAAACCGTACCACAAACATACAAAGAGAAGGAAAATAAATCAGAAGATCAAAGACAGAAAGATGTACCGATCAGGCTAATTAGTTACAACATAAACCCATCATTTCTTTAATTGCAGAAAACAATATCAAAATGCAAGCAAGATTGTCCCTGGCCACCACAACAGAAATTCGAAGTAAACCAATTCTAAGATAAATAAATCAGAATTTTTCAATAATTAAATAACCGTAATTTATTCCAAGATTCTAAACAACTAAATTCATAAGAATTCGAATCTTCAAACATCACTCAAGTTATGAGGTTTAATAACATCAAATATTTTACGTCGAAAATAGCAAATGCATGAAAAGGAGCACAGAAGGCCATGAAATACCAAGTGCTCATTGGGTAAGTAATAGAACCCAAAAGAGGCCAACCAGATACAACAGTAATGCTCTGTTTGGTATGATGAAAAATGGAAGAATAGAAAATTAGAAGAAGAATGAAAAGTTGAAAGGATAAATAAACAATCATANAGATACAACAGTAATGCTCTGTTTGGTATGATGAAAAATGGAAGAATAGAAAATTCGAAGAAGAATGAAAAGTTGAAAGGATAAATAAACAATCATATTTGGTAAGGAAGAAAAATAAGAAAGATGGAAAAGTAAATGGATTAATTTTCTTTCAAACTCACAAAAATCAATCCTTTCAAAATCGAAAGGAAAATTGATGGAAACTTAATTAATTGGATTGAGATATATCTTATTTGTTTATATATTATGTATACATTAATTACNTTAATTGGATTGAGATATATCTTATTTGTTTATATATTATGTATACATTAATTACATATAAAAATACAATGATAAAATATTTTTTTCATTTTAACTAGGGGTGAAAATTTTTGACTCAACACGATGACACGACTCGAACTCGATATGAATTTTATGATACATACTTAATTATAACTTGACACAAACTTAAAAATGACCTGACATGCGAACAAAAAATATAAAAAGCTCATAAGTTTATGACTTAACACGAATTTGATACGACACGACTCGATTGTCACCCCTAATATTAGAGAAAAAAAATTAGTTATTTTTATTTTCTATTTATTCAACCAAAAACAAAAGAAGGAAAGTGTAGTGTATCCCACATATTTTTCATCCGTCCTACCAAACAGAGTATAAAAACGATATAAATGAAATAATAAGATCCATTGGTAAGAGTAAATCAAAGATTGAAAACCAAAAGATAATCAAAAAAATCCACTACCTTTTAATAAAACTAATACATTACAAACATTAGATAAAAAGTTTCAAAAAATATGTAACACAGAAAAAATTAATTGACACACATTAGACTAAACACCATGAAAAATACACCAGGAGCATGTACAAAAATATGGAGGGAAAAAAGCGAGAGAATCTTATCAAACTCACAGCCTGTGAGATCACCAGTTATGAGGACCCGAGATTCATCTACTCCTTGAAGTCAACAGCCGAACCGTCTACATTAAATATTAATTAAAAATTAATTTAATTTAATAAAATATTAATTTGACGAGATTGAACTTCTATTTGAGGAAAACAAAATGTTAATTTAGTAAAATTGAAGAACAATATTTTTTTTCATTTGAATAGAATCTTAAATTGGTGAAATGGAGTGTTAATTTTATAATTTGATAAATTTCCCAAGTCTACTTGGCGTTTTAGTTAAAAGCCCGAGCATGTGTTCATCAACCCTATAAAAACATCCGCCTCTCTTTGCTCTTTCTGAAACATCCGCCTCTTTCTCTTTTTGAAACATCTCTCTCTCTCTCTCTCTCAGAGGAGCTCACTCACGCTGCAACCACCGAGATCGCCGCGGTACCAATTACCATTCATAAACCCGCCGCCGCCGCCGCCATCGCTACCAAGCCCATAACCACCGCGGTCACCTCTCTGACCACCACCCCTGGGCTTGTCGATGAGGCTCCGTTGGGCAGGTGACATCGATGGCCTTGGTTTTTTCACGCTCATAATAAACCGAA